TCACATGTCAGCCAGCAAACATGCTTCTCCCTAGCATCACAGCCAGCCCAGAGCACCGGGGCCATTAAACCAAGAAGACAATAATCGTAACACCCAACGGGCAGGGCGGGCCCCCAGTAAAGCAGCCACGTGTACATTGTCTGTGACGCAGCCGGATGAGCATTTCTCCCCCACCCCTGCACGGCTGTCGCCCAGCGAGCAGGGTAGGGCGAAGGGCCGGGAGAGGCTGCGCCAGGCTGGCCTTGTGCTGGGTGTTGCCCGGGCAGGCGCAGGCGGCTGCAGGCTGTGAATCCGGAACACGGGAGTGATGCTCCTCTCCCGTCTCTAGCCTGGCTCAGCCACACTGTCAGCGAGCAGGGTCTGCGAGGGGTCGTCACCTGCTGCGAAGCCAGGCGCCCCGGCAGATTCCCTCTGGGTCCCCATGCAGCAGTCACGTGGGGGAAGCTCCCTGAAAGGCCCAAGCGGCTGTAGGAAAAGCAGCACCAGAGTCTTCCAGCCAGTAATTGGGAGCATCAGAGATGGGGGCACCTCCCGCTGGCAGCGAGGGCTCAGCCCACGGGGAGCTGGGCCGCAGAGGCCAATGCTGCAGCCTTCCAAGATCTGCGTGCTAGCTCCAGAGGAGGGCTGGCAGGACCCGCATCTCGGGCGGAAGGAGGGGCCATCAGGGAGCTCAGCTGGGCAGGGCCCAAGCACCTCCAGGCAGAGGGATTTTGCTGGATGGAGCTGATGTGGGGACCGGGCGCTGCTGAGCGGGAAGCACCAGCCTGAAAGCTGAGCTCTGGGGCCCACATGCTAAAGGCAGGGAGCCTGCACGTGCCCCAAGGGAGCCCTGCTCAGCAGAGCGGAGAATGCTCAAGCCCGCGTGTGGCAAAGCCCAGAGCCCGGTGGGAATGTGGGGAGCAGAAGGGATAGGAGATGGGACAAGGACGTCCTCCCAGCACTGTGCAGAGAACTGGGTCATTGCACTCAGGTGGCAGCTGCTGGGGGCACTGCACTGGTTGGATGACAGAGGGTGTCTCTGTATTGCATGGGGGGCTGGTGCAGTCCCAAGGGGCTGCATGTTTGTTGGTGCCCCAGTGGGCAGCTCAGAGCTGCTCCTTACCCTGCTGGGCTGGAGTGAGGAGCAGGGTTTGCAGAGTGAAGAGGGTCCCCTCTGCATTTTGACAGGGAGGTTCTGGAGGGAAAGGTGACAGGATGCTGCTCTCCCTGAGCGGCACCTCCTTGTGTCTGAGAGCGTTTCCCTGAGTGATGCACCAGGCCGTGCCCACGCTCGTCCCAGCACGGTCCTGGCCTCCTCGCCAAGTGCCTGCAGCTCAGGTCCATCCTGCTCCTCTCTGCCAAGTGGCAGCCACGTGAAAGTCTCCCTCAGCCTGTGCGAACTCCCCATGCACATGTGGCAGGGGCGTGCTAGCGAACCGTGGCCAAGCCACTGCCCGGGGCCTCTGCTGCTGGATGCAACTGTCTCCGATCTGCAGCATTGCCAAGGGCTCTGCGTTTTGTTACCAATGGTACAAAACTACTCAAGGTAGCTAAGTCCCAGGCAGACTGCGAAGAGCTACAAAGGGACCTCACAAAACTGGGCGACTGGGCAACAGAATGGCAGATGAAATTCAGTGCTGATAAATGCAAAGTAATGCACTTTGGAAAACATTATCCCACCTATACATATAAAATGATGGGGTCTAAATTAGCTGTTATCACTCGAGAACGAGATCTTGGCGTCATTGTGGAGAGTTCTCTAAAAACATCCACTCAATGTGCAGCGGCAGTCAAAAAACTGAACAGAATGCTGGGAATCATTAAGAAAAGGGATAGATAATAAGACAGAAAATATCATGTTGCCTCTCTATAAATCCATGGTACGCCACATCTTGAATACTGTGTGCTGATGTGGTCGCCCCATCTCAAAAAAGAGATATTGGAATTGGAAAAGGTTCAGAAAAGGGCAACAAAATTGATTAGGGGTATGGAACGGCTTCCGCATGAGGAGAGATTAATAAAACTGGGACTTTTCAGCTTGGTAAAGAGATGACTCAGGGAGGAGATGACAGAGGTCTATAAAATCTTGACTGGGGCGGAGAAAGTAAATAAGGAAGTGTTATTTACTCCTTCTCATAACACAAGAACTAGGGGTCACCAAATGAAATTAACAGGCAGCAAGTGTAAAACAAACCAAAGGAAGTATTTTTTCACACAACGCACAGTCATCTTGTGAAACTCCTTGCCAGAGGATGTTGTGAAGGCCAAGGCCATGACAGGGTTCAATAAAGAACTAGGTAAGTTCCTGGAGGACAGGTCCATCAATGACTATTAGCCAGGATGGGCAGGGATGGTGTCCCTACCTCTGTTTGCCAGAAGCTGGGAATGGGCCACAGGGGATGGATCACTTGATGATTCCCTGTTCTATTCATTCCCTCTGGGGCACCTGGCCCTGGCCGCGGTTGGCAGACAGGACACTGGGCTAGATGGGCCTTTGGCTGACCCAGTCTGGCCGTTCTGATGTTCGTATGGGTGAGTCGTCTGTGGCAGGGCTGGCTCGGCAGCACCCAGAGAGGAGGTGGCTGTGCTGGGGGTGAGGGCATCCCAATGCCCCTTGCAGCGTGAAGGGTGGATGATGGCACTGAGGGGCAGGGCTGGCCACAGGCTCAGGAGCAGCTGTGTGCTGTGCCAAGGCAGTGACCCGTCGTGTTCCAGGCACAGTACAGCCTGTGAGGAGAGTCGCTCTGCACCGAGCCCAGCCGTCCCCGCACTGAGATAGCAATGGCTGACTGAGCACAGGCCTCGTTAGTAATTAGCTCTTCTCATGTTCAAAGCTCCTTTTGAGCACTAACGAGGAGATGTGGAGCCATTGCACCGGGGTGGCACCTGCCATGGCCAGTGCACTAGGCAAACAGTCACCCTGGCATGGAACATTCTCTCGGGGAAACTGAGACTCTCAGAGGGGAAGGGTCTTGCCCAAGGCTCTCGAGTGAGTCAGAGCAGAGCAGAGCGGGGAGTACAACCCAGGCACTCCAGGACGCCCGGCCCCCTGCTCTATGGGCAAGACAAGGCTGTTAAATTGGCTCGCCCGTCCCACTCCCCTCCAAGCCAGCTGAGTGGTAATGAGATGCAAACATCTTTATAACCCTTCCCTGCACCTGAGCTGTTTGGTGTGAGCCACAGGTGGCTCAGGGACTGATGGAGGAGCTCGACCCCTGCACCAGACTCAGCACATGGGTTGGGTGGCTCTGGAGGGGCCACTCGGGGTCTTGCTGGGCCCTGAGGCTGTCGGTCAGGTGAGGGGACGTCTCCTGCAGGCTGACAGGGCTTCTGGAGCCTGGGGGATTTGACCCCACAGCTGGACTTGCTCATTCCCTCTGGCATTGCCAGGACACTGGGACCTGCTGCGTCTGGGCTGGTTCTTCAGACCAAGCACCAAACCCTATTTAGCAGCCCCATGCGCTGAATGAGAGGGAAGATGCTTCTCTGCCAGGCGGTGGGCTCCTGGCAGCCCCTGGCCTGGCGTTGGGATGGCTGTGGCAATGCCTGTGGCTGCTAAGCATTTGTGGAAGCCCCGTATTGCCTCTCGGGTGGGGCTGTGTTCAGAGGCAGAGAGCAGGCAGGAGGCTGCTGGCCGGGGTGTCTCTGGCTGGGGGAGGGGGAGTCTGACTGGCCTATGCAAGACACCAGCGAATGAGCCTGGACCCATCCCTGAAGGGAATCCTCTGGGCAAGCGTCCTGAGGCTGATACCCCAGCACCATGCGCTCGCCCGTCCAGTGCTGCAGGCCAGGTTTGCCCTCCATACTCCCTCCCGTTACAGGTTTGCCGTTGGCATTATTTTCCCCGGATGGATTAGCTGCATTTGTCCAGGTCCCACCCATGTTTCCTGCTTCTCTCCTGCCCTCCCCGCTGGGGCTTGCAGCTCCCCACGTTTAGCGTCAGCTGGCAGTTCACTTGCGTGCTACCCTGTCAGTGTGCCAGCCAGCCTGGACTGCCGTTCCGGGGCCCAGGTAGGAGGCAGTGTTGCATGCTGCCCGGTGGCGGGGGTGGGGGGGTTAGACAGAGCGACTGAAGTCCCTTCATGCTCAGCTGGAGGAGTGAGCACGTTGGCGCGGAATGGCTTGGTCTTTAGAACATAGCGCATGGTTCGCTTAACTGCCAGCTGCTTGCAGGGGTTTCTCTTTGTATGGGCACCCAGATACCCTATTGCTGGGTGCCTGTAAGGGGGTATATAACTCTGTCCTGGTCTGGAAGGGGTTAACTGGAAGCCAGGGGCTCAGGTGCTCCTCTGTGGGTGTACGGGTGGGGAGGTTAGGCCTGGGTTCAGCATTTAAAATCGGAGGAAGCCCATGGGTGGGAGGAGGAAGGGGCATGGAGCAGAGTGAGCTGGAGCCTGCCTGAGCCCTTGGGTGAGGGGTGGAGCGTGCCAGCCCCTGGGCTGTGGGGCCAACTGAGGCTAGACAGCCGGGCGGTCTGCAACGGCAGCAGCCCCCTGCCATCAGGTGGTGACCGGCCAAAGGTTTGGTTGTTTTGTCATTTCTGCTGAACTTGGGTAAATGATGCTGTGGCCCTGGATGGGACTGACCCCTGTGGAGTGGCCTGGCCAGAGGGCCAGGGACTCCGACGCTGGGCAGGCCAAAGGGCCGTGGGGGAAACTGAGACAGAGTGGCTGCGTTGCTACGTCTGCCACAAGGGGGCGTGCTGGAGCTGCACCTTTGCTGCTGTGCCCTAGAACGAGCAGGAGGGTGAGAGAGAGGCCTGTTGTTCTACAAGGGACTGGGGTTGGATTGAGCCCTGGGTTAGCTCTGCGGGCCCTGGGGCTGGTCTCAGATCGGGTCAGCCCTGGAGCACGTTGCTCTCTGAGTGAATTTTCTCCCTTTGAGAGCTGCGGCTCCAAACAGGAACATCAGCGCAGGCCTGGCCTGGCCCAGCCGGGGGTCTCATGATGGGGGTCCTGGGAGCTGCGAGAGGTGCGCGGGGCACCAGCCCAGGCTGCAAGCTGGGGGGGATAAAGCAGAGGTGGGTTAATGAATCACACGTTTATTAAGAGAGAAAAGGTTCTTTGCAAAACACAGTGGCCTGAGCTGGCCAGAGAGGAACACACCCCAAGGCTGCAGGAACAGCCCCTGGCTCCCTGGCCAGGGGCCCCAAATTCAGGACACAAAGCAGTCCCTCAGGAGGGCACCCCCGAAACAGTTAATGGCGGGCAGGGGGTGCTTGGGAGAGTAAGCTACCAGAATGGAAGAGCGACTGGGCCAAGGAGCATCTTCCCCAGCCCTTGTAGCAGGTGGATCCCAGGGCACCAGCACTCACAGGCCTAGGGAGGGAACACAAGCCCTGGAGAGAAGGAGGGGACATGAGTTAGAGACTTGAATGAGCCTGAGTTCTATATAATGGCCCCGGCCCCCACGCTGTGTTCTGCTCCGTTCCGCACCCACTACTGCAGTATCCAACCATCCCGCAGGACTGAGCTAGGAGACATGACATAGTGTGTGTTCAGTGGCGTTCCTCTGGGGATTCACTGCCTGGGCTCCCCAGAAACCCAAGCCACCTGCTTTCTCCCCAGATTATAAACAAGACAACTGTTTTCCTTCTAAATCACATCTAACAGGCTAAGCTGTATTGTCCCAGATACTGCACACTTCTCTGCCCTGTGAATCAAACTCTCTCTCTGTACATTTCAGAGTAGCAGCCCTGTTAGTCTATATCCGTAAAAAGAACAGGAGGACTTGTGGCACCTTAGAGACCAACCAATTTATTTGAGCATAAGCTTTTGTGAGCTACAGCTGCATCCAGTGAAGTGAGCTGTAGCTCATGAAAGCTTATGCTCAAATAAATTTGTTAGTCTCTAAGGTGCCACAAGTCCTCCTTTTCTTTCTCTGTAGATTGTCTCTTGTTCTATTGTAAGCCCGAAATTGTGAAAGGCAAGTCTGCACTCAAACAACATCTGGAGTGTATCCACCACATTTACAAGATGTTAATGGATTTTGCTTGTTTTCATGGTAGAGGACGGCTGCACTCTCGAAGGCAGAGGCACTGGATAGCTCGAGAAGGAACCTGAACAATCTAATCACCAAACCAGGGTACAACTTTGAATTATTAAAAGAAATTGCTTAAAAGGGGGGAAATTTCAATGAATAACATGAGCTAATTCTGAACTACAGCCCTTGAAATGAACCAAACCTCAAAAGCCTCTGCTGAGAAAGATATATGACGAGACAACTGGCTCTGTGGATGAGGGGAAAGCAGTGGACGTGTTATTCCTTGACTTTAGCAAAGCTTTTGACACGGTCTCCCACAGTATTTTTGCCAGCAAGTTAAAGAAGTATGGGCTGGATGAATGGACTATAAGGTGGGTAGAAAGCTGGCTAGATTGTCGGGCTCAACGGGTAGTGATCAATGGCTCCATGTCTAGTTGGCAGGCGGTATCAAGCGGAGTGCCCCAAGGGTCAGTCCTGGGGCCGGTTTTGTTCAATATCTTCATTAATTATCTGGAGGATGGCGTGGATTGCACCCTCAGCAAGTTTGCAGATGACACTAAACTGGGAGAAGCGGTAGGTATGCTGGAGGGTAGGGATAGGATACAGAGGGCCCTAGACAAATTAGAGGATTGGGCCAAAAGAAATCTGATGAGGTTCAACAAGGACAAGTGCAGAGTCCTGCACTTAGGACGGAAGAATCCCATGCACCGCTACAGACTAGGGACCGAATGGCTAGGCAGCAGTTCTGCGGAAAAGGACCTAGGAGTGACAGTGGATGAGAAGCTGGATATGAGTCAGCAGTGTGCCCTTGTTGTCAAGAAGGCCAGTGGCATTTTGGGCTGTATAAGTAGGGGCATTGCCAGCAGATCGAGGGATGTGATTGTTCCCCTCTATTTGACATTGCTGAGGCCTCATCTGGAGTACTGTGTCCAGTTTTGGGCCCCAACCTACAAGAAGGATGTGGAAAAATTGGAAAGAGTCCAGCGGAGGGCAACAAAAATGATTAGGGGACTGGAACACATGACTTATGAGGAGAGGCTGAGGGAACTGGGATTGTTTAGTCTGCGGAAGGGAAGAATGAGGGGGGATTTGATAGCTGCTTTCAACTACTTGAAAGGGGGTTCCAGAGAGGATGAATCTAGACTGTTCTCAGTGGTGGCAGATGACAGAACGAGGAGTAATGGTCTCAAGTTGCAGTGGGGGAGGTTTAGGTTGGATATTAGGAAAAAAATGTTCACTAGGAGGGTGGTGAAACACTGAAATGGGTTATCTAGGGAGGTGGTGGAATCTCCTTCCTTAGAGGTTTTTAAGGTCAGGCTTGACAAAGCCCTGGCTGGGTTGATTTAGCTGGGGATTGGTCCTGCTTTGAGCAGGGGGTTGGACTAGATGACCTCCTGAGGTCCCTTCCAACCCTGATATTCTATGATTCTATGAAAGGGACTGAATAAATCTGTTCTACACCAGAGTCATCTAGTGGGTACAGAGGGAAGCAGCAGAGAACTGGAGAGCTGAAATCTGATCACCCAGATGGCAAGTGGGCACTAGCCATCAGAGGGGGCCTGGCTTCCCCTCCCCCAACAAGCCCTGGAGTCAGGGTATGTTAAGCTGAGGTCACCACTGGGCTCGGGAAGTCGCTGCAGAAGCCCGAGTGGGACCAACAGCTGCCTGGAGCAGCTGTGTGGGAAGGACTCTTCTCCCAGCCCCGGGTTAAGAGAATAAGAAGTGAGATTTAGGTTGTGTTTCCCCTATAGTCTCTAACATCAGAACTGCAGGTTTCTTGCTAAAGCCTGGGCTGCACTCAAAAGTCAAATTGACCCTGCTCTGTCACTCAGGGTGTGAAAAACCGACACCCTTGAGCAGCGTAAAGTGACCTAACCGCGGTGCAGACAGCGCCAGGTCACTGGGAGAATTCCTCCCTCGACCTAGCCACGGCCTCGTGGGGCGGTGGATTCCCTGCCCCGTGGGAGACCCCTGCCCTCGGTGTAGGTGAGCTGCAACGCTGCAGCGGCTCACATGCAGACAAGCCTGAAGTCTATGTTCCCTAGTGAGACCGCAGGTAACCTGTGATAGATGTTAACTAATGCTGTATGCAAGCGCACCAAGCAAACGGGCCTAAGAGATTTGAACCATAGCTTTAAGCAATTGCTTTTGATATTCTAAACTCGCCCCTTTTGGACCCATTCATTCCAATAGCAGGGACCACACTCTTCAAAATGCCTGACAGAGAAGTGCCTCCTTAGTCCGCGGAGAAACACTGGCCGGGCGATGAGTGTGTTAGACCCTGCCGAACTGGCAGTCATGTGTCAGTGCAACAAGAAATCTCAGTGATTTGCATTGTTCTTTGGTGCACTTGTTGAGCCTCAAGCCTACGCTCTGACAATTGCTTGCACGACTGTATTTGTGTTCAGCACAGGCCCAGAGCTTTGTGCCCGCACGTGATTGGTGAGCTGTCGATGGCGAACTGGTGCCAGTCTGTCGGACGGTTAAGAATAACTCAGTGCCTTGGTGTGAGAAATCCTGCCCAAGTTAAATGGTGAATTTAAATTAGTAAGCTCCCTGGACTCCCTAAAAGGGGGTTCTCCTACTAGAGCCTGTGCGAATATCCCCCATCACACGGACCCTATTGGCAAGCCTAGTTTGTTAGATTTCAGCTTTAAAAAAATCTAACCAGCCCCTCGGAAAACTCCTAAGGTGCCCCCCGTTCAAGCTTGTCACTGGAGGTGCTGAGTGACGGGCTCACTGTGCCTGGGCCTTGCGTCTCATCTCTGCTCTGCACTGCTGCTCCCTAGAGATGCTCTGAATTCCAGGGTCACCACGAGAGCGCGAGCAGCTGCCGGGCCGGGGAACCCAGAGCTGGTGCAAGTGGAGCCCAGCTGGTCTCACTAGGAACGCCCCGGCCAAGGCTACAGCCTGTAACTGCCCACAGATGGGCCCAGCCAGGAGAGAGGAATCCACTTCTGGCTTCAGCTAAGACACCCAGCCCTGGGCAAATTGGCAGGTCCTGGTTTCTCAATGAGTGATCCCGACTCCTCCCATTGGCCATTAGCCCTGGAGGTGGAGTTGTGGGGTCCTGTGATTGGAACATCCCCAGTGTCCGAGCCTGGGGCAGGGCTCCGAGCAAAGCGATTCCCCTAATCCTACCTCACATTACTGTCGTGCAGACGTGGCCACATCCGTTGCTGCAGCACTTCTGCCTCCTGCGGCACTGCGCATCAGAACTGCACAATTCCACACAAATGCTGCCGCCAGCTGGCCTTGGACAAACGCCGGGTCTCCCTGCAGCACAGAACAATCTCCTGGCAGTCACACCCCCTGGAGACACCAGCTCAACCCTACCCGCTCCACGTGAGGACGCAGGGTGGGTGTGAGCCAGGGTGTGAGTGGGAGGGAAGTGGGTCGGGCTAGGGATGAAGAGATACCCTGCCGCCTGCCCCCGGCCTCGTGAGCTGGGAGCTCACCATAGGGGAGAGGAAAGAAACCACCCCATCCAGTCTGAGTAGAGACTCTGAGGCCGGTGGCTGGGGGCAGCGGGATCATCCAGGCCTGGTTAATGGGGCTGGGGTCCTGTCCCTTCCCTGAGTGACCCCGACCTCTCCTCCCTGCTCATCCCCCCAAGGTGCTGGGAGCATCCGAGTCCAGGGCAGAGTCTGACGTGAACCTGGGTCTGACCTCACCTCGCGGTCGGGTTATTGGTGTAATGCAGACGTGGCCACACCCATTGCTGCAGCACTTTCGTCCTGGAGGACAGGAATCGTCCCCCCGGCATCTCTCCACACAGATCCCTGGGCCTCGGATGTTGGGGCAGGCTCCAGGTCGCACTGCAATGCAGAATAGGCACACGGCAGTCAGGCAGTATCGTCCTAAAGCTGCCCTGACTCTGTCTCCGCCTCGCTGCATAGCTGCTGCCTAGGACAGGCCCCTGCCTGCTGGCTTCCTGCTCCGCACTTAGAGACCTGGTACCCAGAGCTTCCCGCCGCTATGCGGACTCCGCTGCCCGCTTGTCCCTTCACCCTGGTCGAGGGCCCCAGCCTGCTGCTGAGCCTGGAACGGGTGAGGAGACCTGCTCGCCAAACCCCGCATGCCGCATGCAGCCAGCAGGACTCACCTGGCCCCACCGAGGAGGTGGGGCGCCTGCTGGCTTCTGGGAGAGGAGAGTCACAGAGCCCAATGGCAACAGAGCCCTGCCCTGAGCCCTTCTCCTCCCAGCTGCACTAGCGGGGCCAAGGCCAGGAGTACCAGCTGCTTGCCCAGGGCAGGCTCCCGTCGTACCTACGAACAGAGCAGGACAGGAGGGGACGCTGTCACCATGGCCTGGGCTGGGCTGGCAGGCGGCTCCTCTCTGCTGACCTGAGCTGCTCTCTCTACTCACCTTGAGCAGCCGCAGGCGGCAGCTGGGCCCAGACGGCCAGGAGCCCCAGGAGGAGGACGATGGCCCCTGACTTCATGGTGCTGCCGGGAGCCGGGGCTGAGTGCCCAGGGCTGAGCCGGGCTGGGATTTAAACCCTGGCGCAGGCGGGGCTGGGTGGGAGAGGGAGGGGCTGGCTTGCAGCTGAGCAACAGGGACCTAACTTCCTCCTGACTCCATTTCACAGGAGAACTTGTGCCGTAGCCCTGAGGGCCTGTCCTGTCCCTCTGGGCAGGGCCGGGCTGTTGAGAAATCCCCTTGGAAGGCGGAGAGCCCAAAGCTGTATGTGGGGAGATGTTGCCTGCGCCGTGTGGGATGGGGCTCCCCCAGAGAGGGTGGCAGGAGCAGCTCAGGGGGGTCCCACCATGTTCTGCTCACCCCCCAAGCAAGGGTAACTGTCCCTGTGGGGTGGGCTGGTGCCTGGATGGGCAGCTCACAGATCCACAGGCTATGTCCACCCTTGGAGCTCAGGGGGAATTGCCAGCTCCGGCAGACATGCTCTCATCCCGCTAGTGAGCTAAGAACGGGAATGTCGCTGGGGCAGCGGGGCCATGGTGGGTGGCGGCATGAGGTGAACTGCCTGGAGGACATACCCCTGGGTTCGTCCATACTCGGGATGCCTAACCCATGCCCTGCTCGCCGCTGACTCCGGCTACACTCCCTGTTGAGTGCACGAGCTGGATGAGAGCTAGTGTGGGACTCACGGCCCTGGCTCCTAGTGTGGACAGAGGCACAGAGTGTCAGGCCAGAGGGGCCATTAGCTCATCAAGTCCGACCTCCTGCAGGGCACAGGCCAGACCATTTCCCTCCCCAGGCTGTGAGCCCAGGGATTGTGTTTGGCTAAAGGGCTGGCGCCGAATGCCATGCGTGGCAGTGGTGGGCGGGCTGGGGGGAGTGACCGGGGGGCAGTGGCCATGGGGTACCTGGGAATCAGGATTCTCTCTCTCTTTGTTCCTGCCACTGGGATGTCGTTAGGATGGAAGCCCTGAGATAGCGTCCCTGCCCCCATCCTGCTGTCATTAGCAATCAGAGAACAGTCCTGCCCTGGCAGATCCAGCCACAACGCCCGACGCCCAACGGGGCTCTTCAGCGGGGATCCCACAGGCCAGCTGCACTCTGCAGGGGAGAGTCTCTAGCTGCTGCTAAATGTCAGGCCCCTTTGGTCGATGTTTTGACCCTGCTCCGAGCTGCGGCCCAGGGTGAGCTGATCCCCTGGCCGGCTGGGGAGGAGTGTGAGGCCCAGTGAGGAACAGCTCCTGGTGAAACGGCCCGAGTGACTGGTGGAGAAAATGGACCAGGAGCGGGGAGCAGAGTGTGCGTCAGGAGAAGAGGGTCTGGCACGTTCCGCACGTGTCTGTTCTCAGGAGCACGAGGACTCCAGCCCAGACTCCTGGAAACTCAGACCAGAGCCCCCCTACCCCCAAGTGTCCCAGCAGGAACATCCTGACTGATCCTCCCCCGGATGCTCCTAGGCGTAGTTTGACTCTGTGCGTGGGGGGCTCCCGCCAGGCCAATGGGGCCGCGCATTCTGAGGGAGGCAAATTCTGCGCCTGCCTGAGACTTGCAGGGCTGGGCCCGCCGTGGGGTCACCGCTGGCCCGTGGGGCTGGGTGCCTGCCCTGGTGTTTGTTTGGGTCTTCCACAGGGACCCGGGGGGGGTGTCAGGGAGTGTCACGGAGTTCCTGGGCGATGCTCTGGAACTGCTCCCCATGAAGTCAGTCAGGACTCTGGGGTAGTCGCCTTTCTGTGAGCAGCCTGTCTTCAGGACACACAGCTCACACAGCTTCCACCTTCCTGGATCTGATCTCGGAGCATTCAGCATCCTCTGCCTCTCCGTGCGCTTCCCACAGCGAGTCCGCTCAGGCGGTGCTCCTGGGGAAGCCAGAGGGTCCTGCACCCCAACTTCGCAGTCAGACGTGACTCTCAGCCAGCCAGTAAAACAGAAGGTTTATTAGACGACAGGAACATGGTCTAAAACAGAGCTTGCAGGTGCAGAGAACGGGACCCCTCAGCTGGGTCCATTCTGGGGGGCAGTGAGCCAGACAACCACGTCTGCCCTTCACTCCATGTCCCAGCCAGCCCCAAACTGAAAAACCCCTCCAGCCCCTCCTCCTCTGGGCTTTGTTCCTTTCCCGGGCCAGGAGGTCACCTGATTCCTTTGTTCTCCAACCCTTCAGCTCTCACCTTGCAGGGGGGGAAGGGCCCAGGCCATCAGTTGCCAGGAAACAGGGTGTCGGCCATTCTCTGTGTCCAGACTCCTGCACACACATGCCCTCTAGGGCACTGCAATGATCATACACCCTTACCCCACCACCTAGATACTTAAGAACTGCCTAGGGGAAACTGAGGCACCCCCACACTATTCAGAGGAAACATTAAGAACAGTCCCACTTCGTCACAAACTGCTCCCCATGAAGCCAGTCAGGACTCTGGGGCAGTCGCCTTTCTGTGAGCAGCCTGTCTTCAGGACACACAGCTCACCCAGCTTCCACCTTCCTGGGTCTGACCTCGGAGCATTCAGCATCCTCTGCCCCTCCGTGCGCTTCCCCCCAGCGAGTCCGCTCAGGCGGGGCTCCTGGGGAAGCCAGAGGGTCCTGCACCCCAACTTCGCAGTCAGACGTGACTCTCAGCCAGCCAGTAAAACAGAAGGTTTATTAGACGACAGGAACATGGTCTAAAACAGAGCTTGCAGGTGCAGAGAACGGGACCCCTCAGCTGGGTCCATTTTGGGGGGCAGTGAGCCAGACAACCACGTCTGCCCTTCACTCCATGTCCCAGCCAGCCCCCAACTGAAACCCCCTCCAGCCCCTCCTCCTCTGGGCTTTGTTCCTTTCCCGGGCCAGGAGGTCACCTGATTCCTTTGTTCTCCAACCCTTCAGCTCTCACCTTGCAGGGGGGGAAGGGCCCAGGCCATCAGTTGCCAGGAAACAGGGTGTCGGCCATTCTCTGTGTCCAGACCCCTTCACACACCTGCCCTCTAGGGCTCTGCAATGATCATACACCCTTACTCCACCCCCTAGATACTTAAGAACTGCCTAGGGGAAACTGAGGCACCCCCACACTATTCAGAGGAAACATTAAGAACAGTCCCACTTCGTCACATCTCTCCCCCCTTCGAGATCGAACTGAGCGGGGTCACTTTAGCCGGTGACCTGGGGAAGTTCGAAGCCACCAACGTTCCCATGGATGCCCCAGCATCTCTCCCATTCCTTGGTAGGAGTTACACCAGGCCCTTCCGGTTTCACGCCCTCCCTTAGGTCAGGGGTGGTCGATAGCACTCGCAGGCCGCATGTGGGAAGGTTTATGCAGCCCATGCCCTTTAGCCACCCCAAGAATGTCTCCCCATTGACCATCACCTTCCGCTCCCACTGGGGGTCCGAGGGGCCTGGCCCCAGGAAACTCCACACCGACATATAGGTTGGGGTCAGGAGTGGGAGCCTGTCCACATCCCCAACCATCTGGCCGACGGAGTCTATGGCCTTGGGACCCAGCAAGGGAGCTAGACACCGGGGCTTTTCCGCAGGGTCCCCCTAGTTCAAATCTCCAGCCTGCTCAAAGGCAGTGAGGTGGGGATCCACCTCCCCCCCATCCTTAACCAGGGGCAGCAATTTAGTCTCGAGGTTCCCTGCGGAACTGGCCCCCCGGGATCTATCCCCACTCACCCCTGGGAGGTCCCCTAGGCCTCTCCGCTCCCCCACCGCCAGTTCATCCTGCTGCTGCTTCTGCAGCTCTTTCTCGGGCTCTCGCTGTCTCTCACAGTCCTCTTGCTCTCTCAGACTCAGCTCCAATCCCGTCCGTCTCCGATCCCCCGATGGGGAACCCGATCGGGGACAGGAGTCTTGGCGATGCCTGGCTCCCGCTCCAGCTGCTCCCAGATCCTGCTATAGCCCCAGTTGGGGTCAGGAATCTGTTCCTTAGAGCGGTCATCCTCCTCCAGCTGCACGATTAACTCTGCTTTGGTGAACTTTCCAAAGCTCAACCCTCTCTTTTTGCACAGGGTTACAATGTCCTTCTTAAGGAGACAGTGACAGGCCATCACTCCGCTCCTCCCAAGTTGTTGTGGACTCACAGGTCCGTGTGTTCTCAGCTCCCCACGGTTTCCAGGGAGAACCCCTAGTGTGCCAGCCCTTCTCCAGGTCACCACCTCTTTGCCAGGGTCGAGCTGCAGACTCCTCCGCCCCTGAGACTGCTCACTGCAGTCCCCAGGGGGACCCCATTACTGCACAGTCCTTCTCGCTGGTCACACACTCCCAGGGGTTAACCGCCCCCCGAAACCGCTCCTTTCTGAGCCTTCAGCAGGCCTGGTCCTCGGCAATCCCCCTTCGTGTTACTGCTCCCCAGTCACTTACTGCAGGAAGCGCCATCCATGGGGTGCAGTACATCCCACCGCTGCCACCAGTTGTCAGGGAGTCCCCGGGCGATGCTCTGGAACTGCTCCCCATGAAGCCAGTCAGGACTCTGGGGCAGTCGCCTTTCTGTGAGCAGCCTGTCTTCAGGACACACAGCTCACCCAGCTTCCACCTTCCTGGGTCTGACCTCGGAGCATTCAGCATCCTCTGCCCCTCCGTGCGCTTCCCCCCAGCGAGTCCGCTCAGGCGGGGCTCCTGGGGAAGCCAGAGGGTCCTGCACCCCAACTTCGCAGTCAGACGTGACTCTCAGCCAGCCAGTAAAACAGAAGGTTTATTAGACGACAGGAACATGGTCTAAAACAGAGCTTGCAGGTGCAGAGAACGGGACCCCTCAGCTGGGTCCATTTTGGGGGGCAGTGAGCCAGACAACCACGTCTGCACTTCACTCCATGTCCCAGCCAGCCCCAAACTGAAAACCCCCTCCAGCCCCTCCTCCTCTGGGCTTTGTTCCTTTCCCGGGCCAGATGGTCACCTGATTCCTTTGTTCTCCAACCCTTTAGCTCTCACCTTGCAGGGGGGAAGGGCCCAGGCCATCAGTTGCCAGGAAACAGGGTGTCGGCCATTCTCTGTGTCCAGACTCCTGCACACACCTGCCCTCTAGGGCTCTGCAATGATCATACACCCTTACTCCACCCCCAGATACTTAAGAACTGCC